TCTCCACTCTCTACTTCCACTCTCGACCTCCACTCTAGCCCACCACTATCTCTCTATATCTCCATCTCTCTCTCTCTCTCTCTCTCTCTCTCTAACTAATACCTCAAGGTACATCTAAAACGCATGAGCCACGAGCCACGAGCCACCCCTCCATCAAGCCCAACCCAACCACAACCACAACCCCAACCTTCTCAAGCTCAAGCCAACCACTCCGCCGCCCGCTCCAAACACTCCGAAATAATCTCAATCCACTTCTCCGCATTCACATAATCCTCCGCCTCAATACTCTCCACCAAACCCGGGAACACTGCACCCGCATAACCCGTCCATAAACCCGGTGCATAAACCACATGTTTAAACCATGGTCTACCATCTAGTCCTTCTGGGTATAAGAATTTTCTATCGAGATACTTGTATTTCTCATTGACGGTTCGAATTCGATTGTAGAGTTTAATCTTGGAGAACAATTTCCACCATGGAATATCTTGACTGGCTTGTTCGGCAAGGATGGCCGCCGAAGAGTCGTGACGAATTGCTGCATTTTTGAGTGCAGAAGCTCGGTTGTGAAGACCTTGGAAGGAGAGTTTGAGAATCTCGATATCACCTTTGATTTCGATGTTGGTAGGACGAAAGCGAGCTTCTTCATGATGTCCTTCAGATAAAGATCCAATTATGATGGAATCTAATTTATTTTCGGTCTTGCTAATGTATCCTTGTAATGCGTTGGCATAATCAGTAGCATTGAAAGAGATGATAGGAGTTTCGGCCAATTTGGCGGTGTAAAGGGCCCAAATCTTGGACATGGCTTCATGATAATGAAATCCTGGATCTCCATATGTATCCATCCAATGAAATGAATCGTAATTAGAGTGGTAATGGAAGATAGCTCCCCCGCCACCCTCATGGTTGACATCTGGTCCAAATCCGAGATCGATCGATGGAACACCAGCAAAATCTTGGAAAGCCGTGAAATCACTTCCACTACCCATAGTATGAATAACTCCATTCCAAACATCTCCAACAGTTTGTCCCGGAACTGTTTGATTGGGTGACTGCACTAAACTTAAAACTTCATGTAAAGCTTTGTTGTGAAGTGGACTTGCAGATGCTCCAAAAGTAGGACCACTGGTACCGACATCACAGTTAATGTAGGCTACATTGGCATTATTCAACCATGGAAGGTATTCCTCAACCCATTCTGTTGAACCAATCAAACCATATTCTTCACCATCCCAACTTGCAAATACAATGGTACGCAATGGTTTCCATCCTTTCGAAACAGCGACACCAAAGCTACGAACAACTTCATTGAGAGCTGCGGAACCACTATTTGGGTCACCGGCACCCCCTACAATCCAAGCATCATGATGATTTCCAATGATAATAACCTCATCTGATAATGTTCCATTGATTATACCAATCAAATTCCAGATAGGTGTTGTAACATATTCGACGTCGTTGACGAGGTTAAGCACGAGGTTATCTGGTGAGGGACCAATATTATATTCAACTCCCTTGTATGCCAAACCAAGGTTTCGATCCCACCATTGGTTTAAATCTTTTGGTCCAGGTCCGATGCCATTTAAGGCTTTGAGAATAGGTAAAGCATCGACATAGGAGATTGGAAGAGAAGGAATTGAGGGAATTTTGCCATCGACAGGTTGACGTGGAACTCCAGGTAATGAAGGATATCCGGGAGTAGTTCTACAAAAGAGTTAGCCCGACGTCACATATGCCACCAACTTGATGAAACTTACGGATCTCCAGGTGCAACACTAAGAAATTGAGCACTTCCTCTTTGAACACTGCTTGGATTTCTGGCAGGTCCATCGGGGTATGCAATAGCTCCATTCTCCTCAGTATTCACTCCATCATCACCAGGATCACTGAAAAGAACAGTCCCAACCATTTCCAATTCTTGTGCGCGCTTGATCTTGAGACCACGGAAGATACCACCATATCTTGCGATAGCGATCTTGCCCTCCAAACTAACGTTGAGCTTCACTAAATCTTCAAAATCTTGGTATGTACCATAATTGACGTAAACGTATGGTGCGGTGACGTTTCCGTATGCGGAGTATCCATGGAAAGTTGGGATCCTGGTATCCAATCCAGTAGTGTCATCTTCTTCGAGTACATCTTCTTCCAAACTGGCTTCGAACTTGACCTTCAATTCCTCAACATCAGAACCCTTACTCTTCGTCTTCTCATACAAATCAAGTCGGTGACCGCGAGGATAATTGAGGTAAACATCATATGAAATGACCTCGGACTGAATGCCAAATTCTTGCCATCTCTCCTGTGTCCAAAGAACCTGACTCTTATTTGTTCCAGCTACATGTGGTCCCGATGTATAATATTTACTCCATTCTTTTGCCTTTTCTGCCTTTGGAGTATCGAGCAATATTTGTTGAAGTTCTTCGTATGTGATGGAGGCAGATGAATCTTGATAAGGTTTATCGTGATGCCAATGTCTATGTTGTCGAGGTAGAAAGGTGAGAGGTAGTAGGAATATGAAAACGGCGACAATCAAGCAACAAGTTGCTGCGATGGTGAAGAATCGACGAATGGTATTGTGTTGATATCTTTGTTGCGGTTGGCCAATAATGACCGTGGCGATCAATGGAGTTTGCTCATTACTCTCCATGTTCTTTTCATCTATGAGTCTACTCATGATGACAGTTAGTTAGAGAGAGTGTGAGAGTGAAGAAGAGAGTGAGAGAGTAAGGTATTATGTGAAGCTTGAAGGGGTTAATGCTGACGATAAATTGAGCACCAATTGCGTTATCTGAAAGTCCAATATCCAATATCCAATATCCACAAAGCTATGGGGAATTTATGCTGTATGCGGGGGGGGAGGGGGGTATTCACCTCCCGCAGGCTAATCTGATTCAAAAGCTTTCCTTTCCCTGATATGAGGGATATGAGCTTGAGCTTGAGTTTTGATAAGTAAGTAAGAGGGTCAACTGATAAGCATAGAAAAGAAAGCGGATAAACTTACGACCGAAGATAATCCTATCAGGATAGATTTTATGACTTTCTTTGATTATTTCATTGTTACTCAAAAGGTGGGATGCGACATATGAAATTATTTAGATCTGATTGATTAAATGTAAGATATAGATAGATGTACTAGTATATTCACACCTTTGAGCATAGGAATAATGGCTGGCTGGACGCCATGGCGTTAAATAAGGCTGACAAACCAATCGCACTTCCTAGTAAACCACTAATCCAAATCCGATGTAAGCCATCATATAACCCTGTCGCACGTGGGGCAAAAGATGGGGCTTATATGCAGGATGCTGCCAGCATTCACGTGATAAATCTATCAAGCGATAATCGGCCTCAAATTCTTATGATTTGATCCAATCAAATTAATTCTCACTTCTTCAATCTATATCATTTGCCCCCACCTGACTTAATATAATACTTTTCTCTCTCTCTTAAAGTATGACCTCTTCTTCTTCTTCTTCTTCTTCTATCGATGTTGCTTATATAGACCTTTTGAGATTGCTCCTTCCCTTCTCTTTCATAAAACATCATATCTGCTGCTGCTTCAACCAGCTTCTTCTATTAAACCATCACAACTCATTTGATACCACCACGACTTCCCCAATTCCATCCGTCCACGATATCCTGTTTTCCATGCTTGCTTTTGAAGAAAGACTGTAGTTTTTCTGGCGGTCAGATTTGAGAGGTTGGAAGAGGGAAAAGTTTTCTTACACCCATCAAAATGGTGAAAAGAAAGAACTTTGGTCCAGCAAAATTGCCTGTGGCTCAACTCACAATTCTTGGTAAGCCACCTGTTTGTCTCGTAATGTTTACAGATATCCAGCAGATCTTCAAATCGTTGAAAGTTTCTTCGTGGTGATGAGAAAAATCATTGCTTTATTTCGGGAGGCCGGTTGATGCAAATGCAAATGCGAATGCAAAATACCCCGCCTACAATGTAACGGTGCCACCCGAAAGTTCCTGTCCCTATGAAGATCATGCAGATTACCTAGTTATATCCATTTTGAGAAGAATTAATATTGAATATCTCCCTCCTCCTGCGGTTCCTCCTTCATGCGAATGTGATTGGAACGGATTTGAGAACGGAACGTGATGGAGATTGTTATTCAGTTGTGATTCTTTCCAGACCCGACTCATTTGGATGTATCCTTCCGTGAACACCGTTTCCACTACCACCATCGTGAAGACCTTTCAATTGGTAGCTTATTCGGCAGCAATCGAGTCAGAATATCATGCCTTCTTTGATCATTCATACTAATTGATTCAAGCAATATGTAGATTTGCAGAACCAGTCGCTTTAACTTCAGTCTTTCCATATCTCGTAAGTCTACTGAATTCTTTCCTCCGAATATCATGTGACTAACCTTCTACAGCCTGAGATGATTGAAAGTTTTGGAGTTGAAAAGAAAGATGTAGCACAATGGGCAGGTATAACATCTGCTGTGTTCTCATTATCTCAATGTATGACAGCCATCTTGTGGGGAAGAGCTTCTGATACATTTGGTCGTAAACCTGCAATTTTGGTAGGTTTAATATGTACGATGATATGTAGTATCATATGGGGCATGTCAATATCTTTACCAATGGCTATTATCGCCAGAGCACTTCAAGGAGCTTGTAATGGAAATGGTTTGTTCTCATGTTCTACTTAGACTTTGGTTACAATCTAACATTTCACAGTGGGAATTATTCGAACAATGGTAGCAGAAATGGTTCCTCAAAAGGAGTTACAACCAAGAGCATTTTCTATCATGCCTTTAGTATGGAGTCTCGGATCTATATTTGGCCCATCATTTGGAGGATTCTTCGCTCAACCGGCACAAAACTTCCCAAACTTTTTTGGACACAGCAAATATTTCATAAATTTCCCTTTTGCATTACCAAATATTATTGCCAGTTTTCTTTTCTTGATTGGAATCACAACTGGATTTTTATTCTTAAAGGTATATTCAAGCATCCAATATCTCACATTCGCACTAACAACCTTTAGGAAACCCTTGAATCAAAAAGTCATAAACCTGATTGGGGATTGGATGTTGGAAAGAAGCTAATTAGTTCTTCCAAATTGCTCTGCTGTCAACCTCGACCAAAGCATCATTCTCCTGGTCACCCAGCATACGATGAATCATCCGCATCACTTCTTCGACCTACATCCGCTTCTGGATCAGATTCTACTAAAGCGTTCGACGATAACTACGAATCTTCTTCGAAATCGAAGGCTCCAGTTACTCGCCCAACTCTCCGAGAAGTATTCACACGTCAATCAGTCATCAACCTCATCGCTTACACCTTTCTCGCCCTTCATTCCGTCTCATATGATCAAATTCTTCCAGTATTCATGCATCATCCGCGTCAAATTCACGATACTAGCAACACGCAACTTCCATTCAAATTCTCCGGTGGTTTCGGTCTTCACTCAGGTAGAATCGGCACAATCTTCACCCTCTACGGTGTCGTAGGTTGCTTTATCCAATTCCTCATTTTCCCACCCGCAGCCCGCAAATTCGGCGTCTTAAACTGCTTCAAAGGATGCGCCATCACCTTCCCCATCATCTGTTTCATCACCCCCTATACCGCCCTCATCCAATCATCCGCTCACCAACAAATCGCCATCTTCGCCATCCTCGTCGTCAAATCCTTCGCAGTCATCTTTGCCTTTCCCTGCTGCGTCATCCTCCTCACTAATTCAGCAGTAAGTCTCCGTATCTTGGGTACATTAAACGGTTTCGCGGTCTCGATATCGGCAATAGGGAGAGCGATTGGACCCGCCATGTCCGGAACGGCTTTTACGTGGGGTCTGAAAGAGGGGTATATTGTGACGCCGTATTTTTTGTTGGGGGTGGTGGCGGCGCTGGGGGCGATTCCGATTTGGTATTTGGAGGAGATGGAGGGGTTTAGTACGAGGGGGGATGGTGACGGGGATGAGGAGGAGGAGGAGGAATCATTACTTCCGGCTCATGATCATGAGGATGGTGAGGAAGGAGTTCTTTTGGTGGGTGATGAGAGGGTGCGTGGGGATTTGAGGGATGAGGCGTTGGTTGTTGTAGAGGGAGGACCGTTTTCAAAGTCGAATTCGATGTCTAGGGATGTGGATACGGCGAGTGAAGGTGAAGGTACAGTGGTGTTTAGAGATGGGAGATGAGAGGTGAGAGGTGAGGAGTGGAAGCTTGAGTAGTCGGCTTGCGGTGGATAATGTGTGGTAGGGGATATGAGGGGTGGGAGGAGACTGCCTGTAAGTAGTCGTGTCTAAATGGGCTTTGCGTGTGGACTCGACTCGGAGGTGGTTAGAAGGGGGAAGGAACTAAACTAGGAAAGTAGTAGAAGGGGATTGATTATACAAGGGAGATAGATGTACAAGAGAGAAGCATAGATAGAATATATACAGATACAGATACAGATATAATAGAAGGATATAACTTAAACTCGTATGCTTGGTTAGGTACGAGTATATATACTATGAACTATGATTGATAGATTACTACTCGAGTAGTATATCATGATGCTGTTATGTTTAAATTAAATGTAAATGTAAATGTAAGTTCAATACTAGAGTACTAGAGTAGAGTAGAGTATTAATTTTAAAATTTTAAATTTATATAGATGTATATATATTTGGATTGGATTGGATTGGATTGTAGGAGTAGAGTGGAGTGGAGTGGAGTGGAGTGGAGGAGTGGAGTGGAGGAGTGGAGTGGAGGGAAGATTAGGGAGGATTAGGAATAAGAAACGGCGTGTGAGAAAAAAGGAGTGAGAATGAGAGAGAAGGTTAGGAATTAGGGATGAGAAGGTAATGAGAGAGATAAAGGAGAATGAAAAGAGAGAGGGTTGGGAATGAGAAGGGATGGAGAGGAGAGAAAAGGGAGGAATAAAAGAAGAGAATGATATAAAAGGGGGGAGAGGGGGGAGGAATGAGGAGAAGGGGGAGAGGAGAGTTTAGTGATATTTTATGAAAAAAGATTATTGGATTTGTACTGTGCTCAAAGTAGCCAGCCACTCAGTCAGTCAGTTAGTCAGCTATCACCTAACACCCAATTCCCAACTGATTCGCTCGCTGATGATATATCATCATCGCCGCTTCATTATATCATCGCTGATTTTCATTAATCGGCTGGCTACTAATCAGCTACTACCGGTATGTGATCTTTATTTAATAGTACTCGTAAATATTGCCAGTGGTTCCCTCCTTCGATATCCTATCCTATTCTTCTCTTTAATATCACCTCTCATTATTCGCTTTTCCTCTTTCCTTTTCTCCCCTCTTCCTCCTTTTCTCTTCTCTTTCTTCTCTTCTCTTTCTTCTCTTCTCTTCTCTTTTCTTTATTATTTTTTCGACTCTTTTATTATATTATCTTATCTTATAAATTTATTCGTTACGATAGAAGAATCATTATTTTATCTCTAAAAATGCCTTATTTCAATTCAAATCTACTAAGTTTCAAAATTTAATTTACAAAATCAAAATCAAAATCCAAATCCAAATTAAAATCAATAAAAAGTTTCAGAATTTTGATTAAATTAAATAAGATAACTATTTATAAGATTATTTCCTTACTAATTTAGGATTTCTAAATTATATTTTGAAGTTTTAGCTTCTTGATTTATATTGGCAATCGATGATTATTACTATTAACTAGCTGATTGGTTGATTACGATACTTTGTTTATATAGTAAATATCTTAGATAGTCTCATTTTCAACTTTAATGCCTCAATTAGTCTATAATTTCCCGAAAATGCTT